CACAAAAGCCTCAATATGGATGCTTATGACACCTTTATTTATAATTACCAAAACTTGGAAATAACTTTAGTAGGTGAATGGATATACTGTGGTACATTTAGACAGTGGAATATTATTCAACTCTAAAGAGAACTGGGCTATCAAATCATGAAAAGGCATGGAAGAACCTTAAATGCATATTACTGAGTGAAAGAAGCCAATCTGAAAAGGCTACATACTGTTTGATTCTAACTATATGATCTTCTGGAAAAAGCAAAGCCATGTAGATAGCAAAAAGATCAGTGGTTGCCAGGGTTAGTGAGGAAGGAGAGGTGAATAAGCAGAGCACAGAGAATTTTAGGGCAGTGAAACCATCCTGTTATGATACTATAATAGTGGATACATTATGCATTTGTTAAAACCCATAGAATTACTCAGTATTAAATTGAAACTAACTAGTGAGCACACATGTGTATAGAGGGAAGTAAAACTCAGTGGAAATCAATCGTGGGAAGGGTATAGGAAAGGAGGGACAAAAACCTATCTAACAGGTACTCTGAACACTATTTGGGTGACAGGCACACCTTTAGCTGGGACTCAAGCATTACAAAAGTGATCCATGTAACCTAAAACATTTGTACCCCTTTAATATTTTGGGGGAAAAAACTCCCATAGAATGTACAACATCAAGAATGAACCCTAATGTAAAGTATGCACTTTGGGATATAATGATGTGTCAATGCAGGTTCATATAATCCTATGACATAATTCAAAAGGCATAAAAATTTATGTTCATTTATAATAGTAATATAATAGTAAAAAAATAAACTCAATTATAATATATTAAATAGTGTAAATACAAGATAATATATAGGGAATAATAGAGGAAAAGAAAACATTGTTTATACATCATTATTTATAATAAGATTAAACATTGTTAATTGTTAAGGGAAATCAGTAGAGAACCTCTAAAGGAAATTTCAGAATCTCTGTTGTGCACGCTGTTTTGTCATGTAGGTACAACTTCCTTTAACACTGAATTCTTTATCTACACTGGGCAGTGGATGTAGATCACTACTTCTCATCCCTTACTACACCTCACAGTTTGCCTGGGTGGTTCAAGAACAGCAATGATAAATGATGACTGGGCCCAGAGATTTAAAACCAAACCTCTGGAATAGGGCCTGGGCATCTGTAGTTTCTCAGAGTTCCCTAGGTGATTATGATGCACAGTGAGGTTTGAAAGGCGCAAGTGTAGAATGATGGTTAATAATCCTTGTCATCTCCGAAAGGAGTATAGGAATGTTGTATTTTTCACTTTGTACGAATGGTTGGTAATTCTGCTGGTATCATGTGAACAAAAAAGGACAATGGTGCCAAATAAACAATTACAAATTGCACTTAAAACTATAGAGCTATACTTAGTAAATGTCTGCTGAATTAATATCCTTGTAAACGTCTACAAATTCAGATTGTGAAAGTCGAAATTCTATGAAAAGTTCATATTGAACAATACAATTTATGAAATTATAAATTTATGTGATTAGTAAATGTTAAACTCATCCCTAAATTCCTAGACTGTTAGATTAATAAGTAAAAATGGGACTTTAATATCTGATGACAAAGGATTTTAATACTCTATTTTTGCTATAAAGGTATCTTGGCTTTTCAAAGATGCATTGGTAATCATAAATTAGGAACTGTTTATATTTGAAATATGGAAATTTTTGTATGTAATTAAACTTGAGGTTTTCATATATTTTTCTTTTTCATCAAACCATTCAACTTTGTATTAGATATCAGTAGCTGATCTTCCGGGTTTAATAGAAGGAGCACATATGAACAAAGGAATGGGCCACAAATTCCTGAAGCATATAGAAAGAACTAGACAACTTCTTTTTGTTGTAAGTCATATACATGTGATGTTCAAATGAATGTGAAAATCAATGAGTTGAGTTTTCCTAGAAATTTTTAATAAGATTTAAAGATGAGTAGTAGCTTATGTTACTCTGCTAAGTCTGTTATGATATGGGGATGGAAATGGTATTGTTTACTGTATCAGATATAAGTTTGGCTATACTTGTCAAGACTTAATTCCTTAATATTTCCAACATACTACTATATTATATAGTGTCTCTTTCATACTTCATTGATGGTGATAGAATTATAGGTGAGATTTGTCTATAATTGGTATAAACTTTCTTGTCCATACTAGTTTTTCATTTTATTAGTGACTGTTATTTTACCAGAATAATTATAGTTACCTTGACACCTCAATTTCTGTTATTTATTTTGAATTGCTAAGTTACCAATATAGATTGAGAAATTATTTTTAATTTGAGAGAGTAAAATATTTCAAAACATAAAAATGTGTAGCTGTTCTTGTGTTAAGGACTATCTCTTTCCTTGTTTTTTAGGTTGATATTTGTGGATTTCAGCTTTCTTCCCAAACTAAATACAGAACTGCTTTTGAAACCATAATACTGCTTACAAAAGTAGGTTTTCTGTTACACTGTGTTCTGTATCTGGTCTAATAATGTAGGCATAAGGGACTATATGGAATGACATATTTAGAATGAATATCCCACCTTACTTTTTAAAGCTTTGAATATCAGTTAAAGAATTATTTAAAATTGCTGTCTCCAGTTCTTCAGTTTTTACTTGCTCCTCAAACTATTGCAATGGATAAAACCCTCCTTGGGCTTCCAACTATCTATTATTAATATTTACTTCTCAGACTTTATCTTGCTTCAACTTTGATACCTTGTCTGTTTCTTCTTCTTGAAACATTTTTGATCTTAGCTTAATGAACCATATCTTCTGGTTTTATTTCTACTTCTTAAACTGTTTCTCAGTCTACTTCTTAGGTTCTTTTCTGCTCATCCTTTAAGTAACATTATTCAGAGTCCTATCCTAACCCTGTTGTGCAGTCTTACCCATTCCTATTGCTTCAGTTACAAGTAATACCCCAATGGCTGCCATATCTGTATCTGATACCCAGATCTTTTGGTTGATCTTTGATTTGGTATATGTTATTATACGTGATTAGACCAGATGCCTATTGGACATCTTTGATTGGATGTCCTCTTAGCCACTCAAACTTAATATGTATAAAACTGAACTTTTTTTTTTTTTTTTTAACTCTGCCACTCCCAGAATTTTATTGAGTATGTAAGCCAGAAACCTGGGTGGTGATCTTGATTCTTTCTTCTCACCACCTACATTAAGCCCTGTCAGTTTTATACCCTAAATCTATCTGAAATCCTTCCACTTGTCTCGCTCCGCACTGTTATAATCATCAGTTCCTCTCACTGTAATGCTGAATCTGGTCCTGTCTGGTCTTCTCTGCTTCTATTCTTGCTTTTCTCTAGTTCATTTTTTATACGGCAGCTGGAGTGATCTTTGTAAAGAACCAAGCTGATATTTGTTCCCTGTTTAAAACATTTTGATGGTCCCCATTCCTGTTAGGTTAAAGTCTAACCTGGACATGGTCTATGAGGTCTGGCAAGTCTGGCCCTTGCTTAGTAGTCCTTCCCCCACCCGCTTCCCTTATATGCTATGTGATTCAGCTATGTGATTTCTCCTCTTTCAAGCCCGTAGCAACCACCATTCTGCTCTCTGCTTCTATGGATTCAACTCTTTTAGATTCCACATTAAAGTGAGATCACGCAGTATTTGTTTTTCTGTGCCTGGCTCATTTCACTTAGCTTAATGTTCTCCAGGACCATCTGTGTTATCATAAATGACAAGATCTTCCTCTTTGTAAAGGCTTAATAGTATTCCACTGTGCTTAAGTATGTGTGTATAAATATCACATTGTCTGTATTCATTCATCCATCGGCGAACTCTTAGATTGATTCTATATCTTGGCCTATTGTGAATAAATGCTGCAGTGAACAGGGGAGTTCAGATATCTCTTTGACACACTGATTTCATTTCCTCTGGACGTATACCCAGAAGTGGGATTGCTGGATCAAGTGGTAGTTCTATTATTAATTTTTTGAGAAACCTTCATACTGTTTTCCATAATGGCTCTGTTAATTACATTCCCACCAACAGTGTTCAAGGATTCCTTTTTCTCCGTATCCTCTCTAGCGCTTGTTATCTTTTTTCTTTTTCATAATAGCCATTCTAATAAGTGTGAGGTGATATTTTATTGTGGTTTTAATTTGCATTTCCCTGATGACTAATGATGTTGAGAATTTTTTCATGTACCTGTTGGCCATTTGTATGTTTTGTCTTCTTGTGAGATATATCTATTCAGGTCCTTGCCCTGTTTTTTGACTGGGTTCATACTACCCAAAGCAGGATACAGATTCAGCACAGTCCCTATCAAAATTCCAATGACATTTTTCACAGAAATAGAAAAACAATATGGTTTTCTATTTCTAAAATTCATTTCGAACCACAGAAGAGTTTGAATAGCCAAAGCAGTGTTGAGCAAAAAGTGCAAAGCAGGAGGCTTCACACTACCTGATTTTGAGATCTTCTACAAAGCTGTAGTAATCAAAACAGCATGGTACTGGCACAAAAACAGGCATATAGACCAATGGAAAAAAAATACAAAGCTCACAAATGAATCCATGCATTTACAACCAACTAATCTTTGGCAAAGTGGCTAAACAGACATAATGGGGAAAGGACAGTTTCTTCAAAAAATGGTTGGGAAAACTGGATATCTGTGTGCAAAAGAATGAAATTTGACCCTTATCCTGTGCCATATACAAAAGTCAACTCAAAATCAATTAAAAACTTAAACATAAGACTCAAAACTATAAAACTACTAGAAGAAAATATAGGGAAAAGGCTTCTTGATGTTGGTCTGGGCAGTGATTTTTTAGACATAACCCCAAAAGCATAGGTAACAAAAGTGAAAATAGACAAATGGGATTGCATCAAACTAAAAAGCTTTTGCACAAAAAAGGGAACAATCAACAGAGTGAAGAAACACTATGGAATGGGAGAAAATATTTGTAGACCATACATCTGATAAAGGGTTAATATCTAAAATATTTAAGTAACCAAAACAACTCAATAGCAAAACAACCCCAAATTTTTAATTTTGATTAAGTCCCATTGTCTGTCCTTTTGCTTGTGCTTTTGGTGTCATATCTAAGAAACCATTGCCTAATCCAAGGTCACAAAGATTTACTCCTCAGTACATTTACTTTTTCCACAAATGCTACAGGTATAATATTAAATTTTTATTATTGACCTCTGAATTTTATCTGTGTGAAGTTCTGATACCTATATTTGGCTCTGGACACAAGATCATGTGTCTCTAGGATGTCGTATAAGCTAAAATATGCTAACTCATGACCTAAAAAGAAGCATTTTCTGAATTTCCTTTGTTTTGTGCTTATTGGAATTTATTGCATTTCAATAATGTGAGTGGGCTTTAGATTACCCAGGCCATTAAAGTAAAGAAAGATATTTCCAAATAGGTAATTTATATAGATAGTTTTATAAAATTATTTGGTTTTTCTCTTTTGACTTAAAGGAGCTAGAGTTGTACAAAGAAGAACTTCAGACAAAACCTGCCCTCCTGGCAGTTAATAAAATGGACTTGCCAGATGCCCAAGACAAATTCCATGAATTGGTAAACCAGCTTCAGAATCCTAAGGGTAAATATTCATTTAATTCTAATTTAATGAACACATGCAGAGAATGCTAAGTTTTATAATCAGTGGAAAAGAAAACTGACAGTTTCTATTAAAAATAACATATATTTGAAGAAAGAACACATACCATATCAGATGTTCAAATAACACTGTAACATAATTATCAAGTTCCATGGCCAGGTGTGGTGGGCTCACACCTGTAATCCCAGCACTTTGGGAGGCTGAGACAGGAGGATCGCTTGAGGCCAGGAGTTTGAGACCAGCCTGGGCAACACAGTGAGACCCCATCTATAAAATAAATAAAATAAATAAGCTGGGCATGGTGGCATGCATCTGTAGTCTCAGCTACTTGGAAAGCTGAGGCAGGAGGATCACTTGAGTCCAGGAGTTTGAAGCTGCAGTGAGCAGTGATTGCACCACTGCACACTCCAGTCTAGGCAACAGAGCAAGACTCTGCCTCAAAAAAAAAATAATAATAATCAAATTCTAGAATGTGTGATACAGATAGTGAGTTAGAGAAGACAAAAGAAAGATTAATTTGAACTGAAAAGGCCAGCCTTCATGAAGAAGTAAAAACTTAAATTGGGCCCTTGAAGAGTGCATAGGATTTGGATAAAAGGAGGAAAAAGTCAGCATCTACCTGTGAATTCATTTGCTTTAATTAACATACTTCACAAACTCTAGAATTTGATTCCCCTAGTATGATACACTGTAAATTTAAAAACAGAGCTAATAGTTCTAAAGAGGTATGCCTCTTTTCAGCACCAATTCTATAGGTCTCTGAGTATTTGTTTTCTAAAAAGAACTTGAGTTTTCCTATGTATGCATGACACAGAAAAACAGATGCTATTAGTCCAAAAGGATTTATTTGTCTGAAATTTCCTTTATGGACCACTTTGTGTAAAAGAACTTAAAGGGACTCTCCACAGTTTTGAATATTGACCTTTGCAGAACACCCTCTGTCCTATGGCAATGATGCTTTCATTTTTCAGAATCTAGCAGAGGACTTCATGCACAAATGAGGAAAAGTAGGGTGTATAGTAAGTGGCTAACATGTTTTTCAATAGTACTAGTTTGTCTTATGTTTTTATCCTTGGGATAACAATTGGGGAAAATAGATTAAAGTGTACTCTAGGACTTGCAGATGGCACCGTAAGTTCCTTTCTCCTCAAAAATTTTTCCCCTGTGCAATTTACATGTTGGAGATGTGTGGGGTTAATAAGTTACTCTTTGGATATAAATATTCCCTGATACTGTCAAATCGTTAGACTTCATTCCTTAATGTCATTTGCTTCATAAGGTCATTAGTTTTGTTTGCTAGCTTGTCTTGCAGAGAGGGGAATTTTCAGAGGAAGTATCAGAAGTAAGGGTAACTTAAGATTTTGTAACTATTCTCTGGACTATGATAAAACAAAATGTAGGCCTTTCAGTGACATTTCCTGAGTTAGCGTCTCTGGACTTTCTTGGGGGCCTTATGAATCTCAGAAAGCAAGCTCCATGCTGTTTTGTTTGATCTCTTTCAGTCTAGCCTTTCTAATTCATATCAATTAACCCATCCAGTCAGTGTGCTGTGCCCCCTTTCCATTGCCATGGTAGCAGGAAAGAGGAAAAAGTAACAGCTGTTAGCCCCTGTGGGGTGATAGATCGGACTTATCTGAAATGATCTTCCCTTGAACTCCCCGTACTCCCTCTTGAATTTTAGTTTAAATCCTAGCATCAATGATAATAAGCCTATACTTTTGGGAACTTAAAGGTTTCCTGTGTACTGAGGCCAAACATAAATGATGTCTTTATTTTTACAGAAAGTTTCTTTCAAAGAATCTATGTTGCCTCACTTTATTGATCCCCCCCAAATTTATTACTACTGTAAGTAAATTGTTTTTGTGATTTATCTTCTACTTATACTCAGTTTGGTTTAAAATATATTCATCCAACAAATATTTACTGTGTACCTGTCACGTGCCAAGAACCTTACCACTGTCGGTAGTAAAATCCAAAGATTCTGAGAGCTTATTAGAGAGAGAAGGGGAAAAGGGAATTATAAATGCTAACTTGTTGGTTCCTTGCTTCACAGATAAAACCTCTAACACAATTTTGACTTACTTTCAAAGACAATCAGCTTAGCTTTGTATTGTTTCAGATTTTTTGCATTTATTTGAAAAAAACATGATTCCAGAGAGGACTATGGAGTTCCAACATATCATTCCCATATCTGCAATTACTGGAGAAGGAATTGAAGAATTAAAGAATTATATAAGAAAATCACTGGATGAACATGCCAACCAGGAAAATGAGGCATATCATAAGAAACAGTTGCTTAATTTACGGATTTCCAATACAACATCTTACAGTGAGTCACTGTCAAAGCAGACTGTTACTAGTTCCAGAATGGATATAATTTAAGCCTATTAAAAATAGTATTGATGGAATACTATTTAGCCCTTAAAAAGAAGGAAATTTTGTCATTTGTGACAACATGAATGAACCTGGAGGACATTATGTTAAGTGAAATAAGTTAGGCACAGAAAGACAAATACTACATAATTTCACTTGTATGTGGAATCTTAAAAAATTGAGCTCTTAGAAGCAGAGAGAATTGTGGCTACCAGGGTGTCTGGGGTTGAGGAGATGTTGGTTAAAGGATACAAAATTTCACTTAGATGGGAGTAAGTTCAAGAGATCAACTATACAGCATGGTGACTATAGTTAATAACAACAATGTATTATATTTTGAAAATTACTGAGAGTAGATTTTAGGTGTTCTTACTGTAAAGAATAAGTATATGAGGTAATGCATATGTTAATTCGCTCAATTGAGCCATTCCATATGTATATATATTTCAAAACAAGGTGTACATAAATATATACAATTTTTCTGTGTCAGTTAAAAATAGTATTGGGATTGTGTTAATTTGAAAGCTTTTTTCATGGACATTTTTTAGTATTACCGTTTTAAGTTTTTTGTTTTGTGGGTAAGTATATCAATAGTAAAAGAAAAGTAACTGAGAGCTAAAAGTCACATTTTACAAGTTTACAATCAATCCACCTATAATATTCTCTGATATTCCTTTACTTATCATGTCCTTATCGAGATCATTTTTAAAAATTAAATAGGATTCCCTAGATTATTAGAATGAGCAATTAGGCCGTTGGTTTGTTTTTGAGTCTGTCATGTACCTAGTTGCACTAAATATATAATAGTTCTCTTTTCTGGAAAACCTCAAGACCCTAAATTCGAACATATGGTTAGTAATAATAAAGATTGCTGATAATATTTAACAGAAATCAGCAGATGGATGTTTGTGATTTGAACTTTTGGAAAAGTTTTCTTTTCCTAACCATTTTTACCACATTAGAGGAGACTGATCTATAAGTTTCATCATCTTATGTCTTAGTCTATTTCATTTTCCGTTTTTGTATTTTAGTAAAGAGAGCATAAATAGGAAGTACAAACCTTAAATAATATTGTCTGGACATGGTAGCTCACACCTGTAATCCTAGCACTTTAGGAGGCTGAGGCCAGAAGATTGCTTGAGGTCAGGAGTTGGAGACTGGCCTGGGCAACATAATGAGACGCTGTCTCTACAAAAAAATTTAAAAATAAAAATAAATTAGCTGGGCGTGGCAACAAATGCCTATAGTCATAGCTACTTGGGAGACTGAGGTGGACAGATCTCTTGAGGCCAGGAGTTTGAGGTTATAATGAACTGTGATCGCACCACTGCACTCCAGCCTCAGCAGCAGAGTGAGACCATGTCTCTATAAAAATGAATAAATAAAATTATCAGTTGTCAATGTGATGTGATAATTTATAAGAGATTGCAACTCCTAAATTTCTGCCTGAGTATTTCAAAAATGCAAATTGAATGTTGTCTCTTTAAATGACTTTTATTATCAAATGTACATGTTTATTGCAAAAAAATAAAATAAAAATTCAAACAAAAAAGCATATGAAGTAAAAATAAAATTCCCTTTCTTGTTGCATTAGGGCTCCCAGTCCTTCCCATAGAAAACCACTGTTAACAATTTATGTTCTTATAGAAATTTTTTTTTTGAGATAACTATTAATATAATAGTTTTGATATTTTGGTACATTTCCTTCTAGTCTTTTTAAAAAAAATAAATATATACAATATGTTATATAAATATACACATATACATTTCAAAATGTGGGCCATACTATATAAGTTTGTATCTTTTTTCCCCCACTTAACATATTGTCAAACATTTTCTCTCACAAAATATTCTTTGAAAAGTAATTTTTAGTGACAGAGTAATACCTCATCATATGGATGTGACCATCTTTTTTTCATCATTTTTTAAAATTAGCTCCCAGTCTCTTTACCAGATCTAGAGACAACAGAGAACAAGTTCAAGTAAAGGTTCATTTCCGCCTTTCTCTATTAACTGCAGGAGAGTCTGCAGGGCACCGCCAGGGGTCAGTGCAGAGCTATCATCACAGGAGCTGTTACTGTGCGTTCCTGCAACATGTCTTGATAGGAGAAAATTGGTTATGCAACAATCTGTATTAATAAATTCTATCTCTTAGATTAGAGGAGGCCTATTCACGTGAGTGGCCAAATTCCCTTCAAGAGTAGGCTCCCTTAGTACAAATTTCTCAGATTAGAAATGCTCAGATTCCTCCAAATTAATTTATATTCAACATTTCCAAAACAGAGCTATTTTATAAACCAAGGTCTATCAGTGCAAGATTTGGTATCAGACCTGTTCTCACCTGCTTTGTATGAGATCATTTATGCATTAAATACTTTGCCTATTTTATAGGTTTGTTGGGAAAATCAAATAACATATGAAAGTATCTTATTCATTATGAAACAGCATATGAACTTTAAGTTGCCTTTTTTTTAGTTGTCTTTTTTTTAATGATGAGCTATTCAGATATTTGGATGAGTTATCTCCTATAAATACTAAAGAGTCCCAGCTAGTACTATGATTATGAAATGAGGTATAAGGGTATATGCAGTAGTGTGATCATGGATTATTTCATTGGTTTTCTTCCCTGTAGCTCTTGCTCTCCAGTGTTGAAGTCACTGTGGAACTGGTAATCTGGTTTTCCTAGAAGCTAAAGTTCTCATTTACAGTCAATTTGGTTTAGTTCTTTTCCATCCTTATTTACCTGATGCTCCTTCAGGAAAATTACTTTGAACTCGGAACTGGCTTTAACAACTTGTAAGGAGGTAAATGACAGGGATCAAAAGCCACTCCAGGCCTGACATGCTTGACAGGCTCTGGCACAGGGTATTGGTACTCCCGGCCTCTCTAAACCCAGAAGTAACTATTAAGAACAAAAGATACCAAGGCCCCTATCTCCCACCTTGCCAGGCTTCTGACGCAGCCCTTCCATCTTCCTTCTGTTCTGTTTCCTCTCTAGTTCGCAGTGCCCCATCACTTGGCATCAGGGATAAAAAGGAGCTAGGGTTGGAAGTTCTGAGACCCAGTTTGGTGTAGCCTTTCCTGAGAGCAGCCCAACCTGCTCACAAGTCCACTCTGACCAATCTCAGAACACAAAGGTGCCCAGGGAAAACAAGGCCTGGCAAGTCCCTTACCATTGGCACTTTCCTGCTGGGCTAGAGCCTTAAGATCTCTGGTGGAAGGGCACAGAGGCCACACAAAGAGAATAAAAGATGCAGGCACAGCACCTCACACTGTCCACTGGGGAAGCTCCAGTAGAGAGCAGTCCTGGGTCTTCCCTCCGAGGTCCTACATCTTAGTGCAGGATCTAACACAGGGCGCCAGTTGAACAGCTTGTGCTCTAGATAAGTACAGTTCCTGGTACATAGTAGGTGTTCCAGAAATACTCGTTACATGAATGAACGACAGGTTTAGGCCATAAGACCAGCATTAGACCACACAGTACCTGGACACAGCTACATTTCTAATGCCAATCAAAAAAAACAAACAACAGTGCAATTGAAGTAGTAGAACTAAGTCTAGGGACTTGAAAGTTAATCCAGAGGATCCCAACCGTCGGACACAACTCAGGAAAACTCAAGAGCCATACAACAGCAATGCAGCAACCAAGATCAATCACTGTTATTATTTAAGAGCAGTTTCTAGTACACAGGGCCTCGGGGCACTTACAACCCCCACAAGGGCCAACTACCGGAGATCAGAGTCTGACCAGCTAGGTGGCCCCACCTTGCATCCAGGAGGGTGTCAGGAGACTCATCCAGAAGGGCTCTGAGACACCAGCAGAGCTGACAAAGAGGTCCCATGGAAGTATGGGGTTCCCTTGGCCTCAAGGCCACAAGTCCTAGCTGTAGGCCTCCTGACCTGCTAGGTACCCGCCTTCTGCTTTACTCTCAGAGACCACTGCAGAAGCCTGTGTTCCAGAATGGGCTGCCACTTGCCTAGGAAGGAAGCCGGGGGCACGTATGACCTGGTTACTCAGTGTTGTCATAGATGTGGCTCACATCCTCGTGGTTGCTGAGAACCTGGATGAGATGAGCAGCCTGTTCCAGGTCGGGGTCAGCCAGCTGCACCTTTGAGTTGGGGATGAACTCCAGTGTACAGGACACAGAACACAAGCCCAGGGAGTCCAGCTTCTTCCTCACTTGATGCAGTGATGAAACATCACAGATAAATTTGAAAATGTTATTTTCTTCTTCATCTTCAGTTTCTTTGACATCCTCAGCTCCTGCTTCAATTGCCAGCTCCAGGGCACGCTCTAGGTTCACAGTTTTCTTTTCTTTGTCTTCCACTCCAACCACAATCACCCCCTTTTTGTCAAAGGAGTGACGAGCTCCTTCAGTCATCATTCCCCCATTTTTGTTCAGGATTTGTTTAATGTCCGACTGACATTTGGAGCCACTATTAGACAATGCCTCAATGAGCAGAGAAGAGCCACCAGGGCCTCGACCCCCATACAGCAAATATCTGTCCTCAGTTTTCTCCATTTTCAGCGCTGCCTCAATCGTTGGACTTGGGCATGTGCTTGCTGCGACACACCTCTAACACATTGGCCAGGTTGCTGTTGAGCTCAGGATTGAGGCCTCCCTCTTTAACCGCCAGGCGGATGTTCAAACAGTTTGGAGAAGATGTGACTCCTTTCAGCATCTTTGGGCCCCTTGATGTGCCTGACTTTGGACCACTTATTGTGCCTGGCTGGGGCCACTACGGTGAGGTGCAGCGTCCTGCCAGGAGCGGAGCCGCAGCCCAGGGGATCGGGCTTGAAGGGCTCGGGGGCGCATGGAGGAGCCTCCTGGACACCGAGACTTTGTGCCCTCAAGCATCGAGCACCGGCCCTGCTCAGGCTGGCGGAGGCCCAGTCAGCCGTTGGCTCTGACCCTGGGCTGCAAGCTGCAAACAGCAGCAGCCAAGGTCAGCCCGTCCGGTCCGCCTCCAGAACAAGCTGGTCGGGACCCCGCGGCCGCCTCTGCCAGTCACCAGAGACCCAAAGGATCAAGCC